TAGTAGCTGCAAGGTTTTCTGAATGTCACGGCCCTGCTGATCTGCAAGAACAGGGATGGGGAAACTACGGCCCGCGGGCCATCTCCGGCCCGCGAAGCGTTGAAATACGGCCCGCGACCATCAAACAAAAAATAAATGAAGTTTTCATATTGTTAGAAATTTTATTCTCACTGACAGTGCGCGACTCGCATGAAACAATCACCGTGATCGTTTTATAATGAAATTATGAAAAAATAAATGAAACTATCGACTGCGCGCACGGTGTGACCATCGGACACCCCTCCTGCACACCCTCCCACGGCTGCACGTGTCCACGCCGACACCGTGCCGCCGCCGCACCGCTGCGTCTTACTTCAAATCGCATGTCCCGGTACTCGGCGACGTTTTCCCGAGAAATATTGGCACGGCCGGTATATAAGGCATCACCAGTGCTGTTGTCTGCATAGCAATGAATGCTACCAGTTAGCAACATATCATTGATATGCAGGAGAAACAGCGTTGGTGATAGCACGCACGGGCACAAAGGAATGTTCCAATTTGTACCCCGGGTAGGAGAGATATGAAGTATCAGCCGGAGAGGACACCTGAGTCTCGGTTAAAAAAAGCAAGGCCGGCTTCGCCGTCTCTAGATGGTAATGGACAGCGTTAAGGTTGGAATGAAGTCTCCTGATGTTCAAAAATTCACGGATAGCGTGACAGGGGTCGCCTTGGTGGTATTGCTCCGCTTGCCCCGAGCAGCATTAGTCGCGAGCGGAATTTTGCCCCCCCCCCCCCCCCCCCAGAATACGCGGGGCAGCCTGAGCACCCACGCTCAGGAGTCAAGTAGTTTGGTCGTGGATGCTCAGCGAGGGATTCTCCATGGGTGCTGGTACCCTCCTGGGGTAGTCTTTTATTTAATTCCACTACCATGTTGATGGGGGGGGGGGGTGAATTGGGCCTCCGGCGCACCAAGCGCAACGCAGAGGTAAACCTCTACTTCACGCTGGTATTCTGTGAGGTCGTGGTACCACCCCGGTTCGAGCTGGCCCATTCGTGGGACAGCAAAAACTACCGCTTGGCTCTACCACTGTTAAGCTGGTTGTGTAAGGATAACAAAAACAGATGTTTAATTTAATTGTAATATTTAATTTTAAATTAATTGTTTTTTATGATGTTATTATTGTCAGTCATTGTCATTTCAAAATAACTTGATAATAACATAACAAGGATATTTATAATGTTATGAGATATGATATATAACTATTGCAGTTGTTTTCAATATCCATATACTTTTTTGTCTCTGTCTACGAGCAACTCTGCAAGATTTAAGCCTACAAGACATTTATTCTATGCGATTCGCCTGAAAAACTTTAATGAATATTGTATATATTATTTTTTCTATATTTATTGCTTTACATTTTTTACATGTTTGCATTGGTTTACATTTCGAACAATATAAAGCAAAAGAAACACATCCACATATGATATAATTGTTAGAAATTATGACATTTTCAGTAATAAGAGATATAAGACTATATAAATACTATACTTCAATGTCAATAAACTACATTTCCATATTTCTGTCAGTATTTTGTTGTCTCTGCCAGTATGTTAAAAAATAAGAAATTATTATAAAATACACATTACTAATCAGCTCAAGATGACCAAATACAAAAGTAGTAATTATGGATTTACATCAACAATATTTAACTATGTAAAAGTTGTCTTACTTCTTATTTTCACTGGCTTCATGTAGGGGGACAGAATATTATTTTTATATTAATTATCTGATAGTAGATAACAAAATAATATCCCTTTTTGTAGAATTAACAACACATCAGTCTAAGGATAATAGAAGCATTTGATCAACAAGGAACTATTACATGAGTAAAAATGGCTAATTTAGATTTTACTAATAACATAAAACTTTAATTATTTTCACTTTTAACAAGGTTCTAAGACATGTGTTTGTCAGTTTTTAGGTAATTCATCATAAATTATAGATCTTATTTAGATTTTCCAAAATTCTAGGTGTAAAAGTAAACTTTTATATTACATACATACTAACTAAACTCATTAACCTGAATGATAGTCTCCATATTATGTTAAACACTTGTGCATCGATGAGACGATATTTATTTTATTGTCTTGTAAACAAACAGTAAGAACTTTTTTGCTATCGCTACTAACTAATTTTGCTACCAAAAATCATTTTAACATATATATTAAGAATTACAGTTAATCACAGACTATATTCTAACAGTAGTGATGCAACTCGAACTCTGTTTTCACTCGATGCCATCGAGTGAATTTGTGTAGCTCGGTACTCGAGTGAAAATAAATTTTACTCGAGTCTGCTTGTACTCGAGTTACCGAGTCAACTCTTCTCTTCTCTTCTTTTAGTAAAACTCGACGCACCGTGTGGATTCGGAGAGCACTAGATAGATGTCAGTTCACTAATCCACTAATTCTATCATCTAATCAACTAATTCACATAGTATAAGGCGCCGCGGGTGACGTCACAGGTTACATCGAAATTCAAACTTGCATCATGGCATGTTGTAAACAAATATGAACTTAGTTTGATTTATAATATCGTGATTGTTCTATCATTGTTGTTTATTTTTTGTTACTTCGTATAAGTAGTGCATAAAATAAAAGATGATTTAAACATACTTGTTTGTTTAAGTATCTGTGATAATATAATAATAGTAAAGTTAAAAGCAAAGTTGCAGCCTATTTACGTCCCACTGCTGGGCACAGGCCTCCTCTCATTTCTAAGAGGGTTTTAGGGCAAGGAAATGTCCGCCGCGCTGCCCCAATGCGTGTTGGCGAACTTCACATGTCTTCGAAATATTTTTTTTTCTTATTTCTCAGACAAGGTTTCCTCACGATGTTTTCCTTCACTGCCGAGCACGTGGTAAATCAGCACTTAAAATTGCAATTAACAATTTCATTGGTGCCGTCGAGGATCTAACCCGGGTTGCTCGAGTACTGTGAACCTTACAGCGAGCGCTAACCATCTGAGTTACCACGGTTTCAGTCAGTGATAACAATGACGCAACAAAACAAAAATCGTCAGTGAGGCATTATTTAAAAATATCGAGATGAAATCGATTTGTATTTTGTAATATATGTAAAAAGCAGTTTATAGATTTTGAAATAAATAATAATAATAATAAATAATAAATAAATTTTATTAAATTTAGATACCTTAAAAACTAGTAGATTGGAACCTTCATTTAAGCAAATAATGCCTGTGTTTGGAGGTTCCGCCCTTCCATTACTATATCCATGTTACATGGCAGTATGGATAAACATATTCTATGGGTGAATCAACTTTTAAGGTACTTTTTTGCTGTCCCCATAGTGAACTTTTACATCATCATTATCATCATTACAGCCCTTCACAAGTCCACTGCTGAACATAGGCCTCCCCCAAAGAATGCCACAAAGCACGGTCCTGAGCCACCTGCATCCATCGACTTCCTGCATGTCTTACCAGGTCGTCACTCCATCTCGTGGGGGGACGCCCTACACTTCGCCTAACGGTACGAGGCTGCCACTCGAGAACCTTTCTTCCCCATCGGTTGTCGGTTCTTCGAGCTATATGGCCGGCCCACTGCCACTTCAGCTTACTAATCCGTTGGGCTATGTCGGTCACTCTGGTTCTACTGCGGATATCCTCATTTCTAAGTTTATCACGCAGAGAAACTCCGAGCATAGCCCTCTCCATAGCTCGCTGAGCGACCTTGAGCTTCCTCATACGGCCAGCAGTGAAGGACCACGTCTCAGTTCCATAAGTCATCACTGGCAATACGCACTGGTTGTACAATTTCGTTTTCAGATTTTGAGGTATGTCTGACGAGAAGATGTGTCATAGCTTCCCGAACGCTGCCCAGCCGAGTTGAATCCGTCGATTGACCTCTCGGTCGAAGTTGGACTTACCTAGTCGGACTATTTGTCCCAGGTAAACATACTCGTCAACAACTTTGAGCTTAGTGCTCCCAACAACTACCGGCATAGGTGTGACATGGACATTGAACATGATCTTTGTTTTGTCCATGTTCATCTTAAGACCTATCCGTTGGGAAACACTATTGAGGTCATTGAGCATAGTGCTTAGGTTCTCCAGCGATTCTGCCATAAGGACTATATCGTCGGCAAATCGAAGGTGAGTGATGTACTCGCCATTGATGTTGATACCGTATCCTTTCCAGTCCAGAAGCTTGAAAACGTCTTCCAATGCAGCGGTGAAGAGTTTCGGGGATATGACGTCACCCTGTCTGACACCTCTCTGCAATTGGATAGGTTTCGTACTCTGGTTCTGTACTCGGATAGCCATCGTAGCCCTACTGTACAAGCACTTCAACACTTCGATATACCGACAGTCAACTTGGCACCGCTGAAGGGACTGCAGCAACGCCCAAATTTCGACGGAATCAAAGGCTTTCTCATAGTCCACATAGGCCAGACATAGTGGCAAATTGTACTCTTCGGACTTCTGTACAATTTGCCGAAGGGTATGTATGTGGTCTATGGTGCTAAAGCCCTTTCGGAAACCGGCTTGTTCGGGAGGCTGGAAGTCGTCAAGTCTGCGCGCGAGACGATTCGTAATGACTCTCGAAAACAGCACGTAGACGCGGCTCAGAAGGGAAATCGGTCTGTAGTTCTTCAAGAGAGCGTTGTCACCTTTCTTGAAGAACAAGACCACCGCATTTCTGCTCCACGCTTCCGGTGTAATGCCACCATGGAGGACGGAATTAAAGAGCTTCTGAAGGACTTCAAGTACCGGTCTTCCACCCGCTTTCAGTAGCTCCGCTGTAATTCCATCCTCGCCTGGGGCCTTACCGTTTTTAAGGTGCTGGAGAGCCATTCTAATCTCGCTCAGACTGACGTCCGGGATATCTTCGGAATAGTGTCGGATGAGACTCGCTCTTGGATCGTTACTCACACTTGCGTGTGGCTCCAACGATGACGTGTACAGCTGCCCATAGAGCCTCTCAATCTCACTCAAAATCTCAGGTGTCCCGGAAACGATGCTGCCACACTCTGTCTTCAGCTTTGACAGGTGGGTCTTTCTGGCAGACAGATCTCTGGCAAAGACTTCGACGATCGAGCGGAACCAAGGCTCCACCTTGGTTCCGCTCGATCGCTTCTTCAATACGAGCTGTATTGAAGTTGCGTAAGTCCCGCCGCATGCATTTGGAGATCTGAATGTTCAGATGCCTGTATGCTGTCAAGTCTGTTGAAGAATGTAGCTTCATCTCCCGTCTAACAGCCATGAGATTAAGAGTGTGATCGGAGAGTTTTTGTGTTCTTCTGCGGCGGGTCTTGCAGAACTTAGCTCCGACCGCATGGACAGTTTCCACGAGCTTGTCATTCATATCGTCCACTTCATTGCAGTCTTCTAGGCACTGAAAACGGTTTTGTAACTCGAGCTGAAAGGTTTCGGGACTTTGGAACAGAGCTCGAGGGGGACGGAGCGTTGACTTCATTAGACAAGACCTCTCCAACTTAACGTTTAGGTTCAGTGTGCCTCTAACCATTCGGTGATCGCTACCAGTTTTCACCCTCGCGATCACGGAGACATCACTGAACAGTTGTCGTCTGGTCGTCATAATGAAGTCAATCTCATTTTTTGTCGAACCGTCGGGGCTCGACCAGGTCCACTTCCTGTGGGGTCGCTTCTGGAAGAAAGAGTTCATCATAAAGAGTCCCTCTTTCTCCATGAAGTCGGCCAGCTGCTGGCCCCTTGGGTTCCGTTGCCCTATTCCAAATTTCCCTACTTTCAGCTCACCGTTCTCTCTTGTGCCTAGTTTTGCATTGAAGTCTCCCATTAACACCGTATATTGGGTTTTGGAGGAATGCATGGCTCTAGAGATATCCTCATACATTTCCTCCACCTCCCCATCGGGGTGTGCCGAGGTTGGTGCGTAAACCTGTATGACCTTCAGCGAATACCGTTTGGTGATTCTGAGTATAAGGTACGCAACCCTCGTCGACACACTCCCGATCTTTACAACGTTGTTAACGAGAGACTTGTGGACGATAAATCCGACACCTCCTTGGGACAGATGGTCGCCCTCCCGGTAATAGAGCAAGTTGCCGGATTCGAGGATTACCGTGTCCTCCCCCTCTCTTCGGACTTCGGATAATCCTATAATATGCCAGCGCAACTTGTCTATCTCTTCTTCCAGCTCCACGATCTTCTCGTCAGTCCTCAGGGTGCGTGCGTTGTACGTTGCCAGGTCGAGTTGTCTAAGGTGGCAACCGAACCTCCACCGGAGATTCTTAGCACCCCCTGCCCCGCCGTTACCATGGTCGCCACCGTAGCCAGGAATAGCGGGGCCGCCGGGGACTGGGGGCCGTCTCTTTGTTACATTCATAGGGGGGTATTTGCCATAGTTGCCACGCTTGGCGAGCGGGTTGGCAACCGCAGTTTTTTTATTGTAATTTTGGCTATTATCAGGAAGATGCTGCTGCCCATCTCCTGCCTGTTTCACTTTGTCGCCTTTTACGACACCCACGGGAGGATATGGGGTAGTGGTATTCTTGACCGCCACTACACGGCTTTGACATAATGACGACGATTCATTTAAAATCAAGAATTTCTAAACCTTATTATAAAATTAGACATATTTTACTTCTACTAAAGTAATTTACTTTGGTAGATAAAATAAACAAAAATACTTTTTTATAGTAATGCTGTAGACAAAAACCGTCGCCCATACAAAACTTGTTTTTCCCTAAACGTAGGTTACTCTATACATTCTTAAAGTGGTTAAATTTTTTGTAAGAGAACACTGTTTAATTTGTACATATTTTTAATTACAATTAATTAAACTTCATTATAATAATATAATTACGATTTCATTATAAATAATATAAAAGCTTTTATATAATGGATTTCCGCAAAGTAACGCCTGATTCTATTAATTATATTATAAATAATGTAATTTATAAAAATATTTCAATCTTTGTCCCCAAAAACTATTTCACATTATCGTTCTTCTAAGTTACTAGTCTAAGTAGTTCATACTTGATCTGAGCGATGGTGCACAACTCTCCACAGCTATTGTTTTGTGTCCAAGAATTCGTTGGTAACATCGATAGAGAGGAATTTGTGTCGAGCCGCCGGTCAATTCGCGGAAAGCGCTCGGAGAGGGTGTGTGGGTTTATTGTGTTTCTGCTACGTTACCACATGATTCTGCGTAAGTATAACAGATATTTTGATTTAATTTACTTGTTGCCATTGAGTTTCGATCTAAGTTCAAGGTCAAAACACAAGTTTGTAGACTTGTTAATATTTGAGTCGTTAATTTCTTAAGTTTTTTCCCTTGCGTTACCGGTAACATCAGAGAATATTACTAGTAACGCAAGAGAATATTTCTCATGCGTTACCGTAATACACGTGGCGCATCTGATCAACACCGAAAATGTGTTAAAATTGTTATTGGAAAGATAGAATTACAACTGTTTAATATGAAAACTTTGATTATTTATAGTTTATTACTTCATTTAATTCAAAAAATCAATTTAAGAAAAGTATACTTGAGTACAGTTTTATTTATTTTATTCAGGTGCCATCAAAACTAGAAATAAGTCTCACATCGATAGAAAAACAGAAAAGATATAGGTAGAGATTAAAGAATAATCCAGAAGAGTATGAGTTAGCAAAAGAAAAACAAAGTAGATGATATCATAAGACCAAAAGACTGGTAAAAGATCTGACACCAAAAGAAAAATATAACGCTAGAATTGTTTAGAAATCAAGCTAAAGGCAGACAAAATAACGTAAGAAAAGTCAGAAACAGCTATACAAGCTCCAGATTCACCACGACCTGATTCTAGCCTAGAAAATTTTGCTCTTTAAGACAAAAACATTCCACGAATCACACCTCCACTACTACCTAATACACCACCAGCTATCGATGCATTAGAAACGACTCCGTGTGTTACACCTGCAAAAGCACGTGGAAGACGGAAAGTGAAAAAAGATGGGACCAAAGTTTATAGGGAAAACAAGAAACTAAAAGAAGAAAACGAAAAGTTGAAAAACTGAAAAGAAAATACGAGAAGTGCAAGAAACAATACACAAGAAAGAATCAAAATGGTTATACACAGAAACAAGAAGATTTAAGATACTAAGTTTTAGTTAGCTCAGCTATTCTAAAAACATTCAACACAACCAGATCAAGAAAAGAAAGAGAAATATTAAAAAAAATATTTTCTACAGCTGAACTCGAGAACTCAAGAATGAAGAAAAAATCACTGAAGGAAAATCCAGGCATTGATAAACTGAAGAAAAAAACTGTAACAACAAAGAAACAAGGTTAAAGAAGAAATTAAAACAATTACATATTTTTAAGAGATGATGATTATTACCTTAATAGTATCGTAGTAGAATGAAAAAGATTTTTTTTAAATATTTTTAGTTATTTTTTGTGCAAGAAAGTTGCTTTTGTTTTAACAAACGTTTTTGGTTTATAAATAGTTATACTAAATATATTTTGTAGGGCAATATATTAACATATTTTCTCATACGTTACTAAAACCTTCTCATGCGTTACCAATTAATGTCCCTTAACTTTAGCTTGAGTTTTTGTAGAATTGTTCTTCTTGTTATTTATTTTTTCTATAAATGAATGCTGATTCCGTTGCATTTAATACTGACTTAATTTAAGTAAATTGTTACAAATGTTTAATAGGTGTAGAAAAAAGATATCTAAAAGTTTTATTTTTATATTGACAATAGTAACGCAGTAGAATAAAAAAAGTTAAATATTGCTTATATTTTTCAATTACCTTTTATGTTTTTTGTGCAAGAAGGTTGCTTTTATGTTTCAATAAACGATTTTAGTTGCAAAATACTTCGATTGATTTTTATTTATAAAGAAAAATTATTTCTATTTACGTAACGCAAGAGAAAAATTTCAAGCCCGGCTCGCGAAATTAACTTAATAACTTAAAAAAGTGAAATTTAATATCGTGGCCAATCACAGAAATGAAAACAACGATATATTAAACTTCCTTTTATATAGGATTCCTTTTAATTTCAGACCAAAAAAAATGTATATGTTGGTTCATACAAAACGTCGATAAAGGAGGTTCTTAAAAGTTGACTCACTCCTATATCAATATTAATGTTATATATTACTTGAATTCTATATTAATTCTATTCTTACTTTATTTACTTACGTATGTGTGTGTGTGTGTGTGTGTGTGTGGAATAATATGTTAATATGTTTACGTTATTATGTTAATACATGAATAATACAGATATGAAAAAGAAGCATGGAAATACTACAAATAAATAAATATTTGTTTTTATTTCACATTGCCACATTTTACATTTTAATAAAGGTACCTATTTAAAAATTCTTTAACTAAAGTAATCGCAACTCTCAACTCGAGTGATAAACTTCAATCGATGCAGGGACTATAAATAGTCAGTTCTAATAGCTCAAAAACTCAAGTACAACTAGAGTGACATGATAAATTATTATTAACTCGCGTTATTCGAGTCACAGGATTCTACTCTAGTCGTATCTTTATCTTACTTTCAATGCAGTGCCTAGAATTTAGTGATTAACTCGACTTATTAATGTGAACAACTTATTGATATATTATGTAATATCAATAAACTGATTGAGTATCATTGTCATAAAGTTAGAGTGATATTATATTATGAAGATCTATACGCAAACCAAAAATATATAACTACGTATTAAGTTTAGTAATAATAATTATGTTGGATGGAAGAACAAAATACGAGTATAAAAATAATTTGTAACAAACTGACACAGCTTCGTTCAGCCAATTCTAGCCAGTTGCGTAACTCGAGTACTATTCGACTCAAGTTAACTCGCGTTGAGTTTCTTCCGAATTAGCACATCTCTACTACAATTTTTTATAATATTACATTAGCAGAACCAATGACCTGAACACAAATATCAAAACAATTCTTTTTTTTTTTTCTAATTTCTTGATTCCGTTTAGATTTTCATAAAATTTGTAGGCCATTTACTATATTAAAATGGTATCTTTTTTTGTGTGTAATAACATTAACATTCATTAAAATTTCTAGTGGGCCTAAAAATGACTATCTCATTTGTTAAGAAAACAGCAAAAGTGATTCAACCGGGGAATTGAACCCGGGATCCTAGATTATTGTTGGTCATCAAAGGTCAGACAACGAAGATTACGTGTCCCCTTGTAGTGGTCCCGGTCCTGACGTCTTCTTATATATGTATAGTGTGGACTGTATGTTTATATAGGCGTTGGTGGAAGATCTTTTAGGAATGAAACAGCATTTATCTTCAAAACCTCTCTGTAAGAGTGCACTAAATATTTACTAAGGTAATTGCTAAGAAAACAACAAAAAGTAATTCGACCGGGGATTGGATCCGGGACCTAAGATTATTAATTCGAAATTTCTTTAAAATTTTACTAAGCGTTTTCTTATAGAATAATTATTCCTTGATAATTAATCTTTATAAGCTATCCGTAATTTGTAAACTAATAGATTGAAATATTGTTTATAGACGCGTCGCCAACAAGGAGTAACTTTTAACACAAGGCTTACTTTTCATGATCACATCATAAACATCTTTATAGAAATCTAGAATTTATGCTTCGTACGGTCCGAGGATTCACAAAATTTTGAGTACAGTAAAAGAAAGAATTGACGGATTCCAGTGGTATATTTCTTCTATGCGTTAAATACCCTTAGAACTTTAGTACGAGTACACACAAGCTCCAGATGGTTGTAAACAATAATTGATGGAAAGGACTGATATCGTTTGTGCGCGGCTACAATTCCTGAAAAAACTCAAGACCCTGATAGATAGTGAAGACACTCGACCAAGAATTTATTTACATGAGACTTGGGTGAAACAAAATCACAGCCGCAAAACGAATTTGGCTAGGCAAGGATGGACAAGGCGGCTTAAACACAAAAACAGAAGAGGGGGGCAGGCTAATTAGTAAATATTCTTTCATCTTTTATGTAAGAAATACGACTTAATAATGATTTAATACAAAATATGATATTCATTTAATTATGTTGTTTCAGTTTGTCATGCAGGCTTGCAAAATATGGTTTTATACCCGAAGCCAGATGGGTATTCCGTGCTGTGAAGTCTCAGAACGAGGACTACCATTCAGAAATGAATGCCGAAGGCTTCACAGACTGGTTTACAAAGCTGCTGCAGAGTATTGAAGAACCATCTGTCATCATAATGGACAACGCACCCTACCACTCCCAGCAAATAAATCGAGCACCGACATCAGCTAACAAAAAGAGTGAAATTCAGGAGTGGCTCCGCCAACACGGGATTGAGTTTAGTGATAGTGAGCTCAAGCCGGAACTATTACAAAAGGTATT